GGCAACGCTTACTCCCTTTCCGCTTTCTTGGACCAATCTTATGTATACAAACGCAGTTTCCACAGTGGTATTATTAGACAAACGAAGTGCAGCAAGTGAAAATGAGCACCTAGATTGGCAGTGTTTGGTCGACGTTCGGACATTGTGGATTATTTGGAGTAAATTAAATACATGAGTGTATACTCGAGACGTCTTTTGTATACCGTCAGTGTGGGAGAAGAAACAACATAAGCCTGGAGGGTGTGCCAAGTTTGGCCCACACGAAGTGAACAGAAAATCCCGGCAACATTCCAACCACCCATACTGGATGGCCAGATTTAGCTGGTGACCTCTCAGAGTGGTATTATGAATCAGCTACAGAAAGGGTCGAAAAGCATGGATCGAGTTCATCTGGATCAAATTTCATTATGAAATAGCCACGCAGGTGTCGATATGCTCCACTACTGACCCCAAGAGTTTTCAGACGCAGTTGCTAAGGGAGATGAAACAGAGCTTCTACCTTCTTGGTCGCTCTTCGTTTTGGCATTCAAATGTAGTGAGATCGTGTTTGTGCCAGGGTTGTCAGCCTTGATTGGCGTATTCCTAATGGAGCCTAATGTAGGTATTGAGCATCTGAGAGAAGATTGAAGCGTCAAACCGCGCGAATTCTCTTCGCAAAAGGCGAATGTATTGGTTAGCCTTTTGGAAGTTTTATCGACGTTACGTAAACAGCCTAGGTCCTCTTGTACTATCACACTTAAATCGCATTCAGTAGTAGCACGCTACAAATATTGACCCCCAGCCTGTATTCGCTAGTGAATTGACTTAGTAGTGTTGAAAGATGCAGATTCTGAGTTGCCCATCCGTATATCCTATCAAAGTCCTTCCGAAGCGCTACGTGGTCATCCATAGTTCTGTTGGCCCGCCATATCTTGTGACTATGAACAAAGAGTAAGAAATTGGAAGTAAGCAATCTTGCAAGAGCTCCGTGTAATGAAGGAATAAGCGTATACCCAGTACTGAGCTCAGTGGCAGTGCGCTCTGAACATTGATAGGATCAGCGATGAGGTGGCCAACTCTCATATTCCGATTTCGTTGAAGCAAGAAGTTTTCTACTCAACCTAAAACTGTTTTCCAATTGCACAGCTCTGGCGCCAGCGAATGAGAGTGCGGTGGTTCCTACGGTAGTAGCCTTTAAGAAGTCCAGATAACCTGCGGCAACTCCTACACCGCTGTCGACGGTTTCAGCCTAATTGGATCTAGCAAGTAGCAGGTTTGTGGTGCAAGACCGGTTTGGTTGAATCCATGTTGCTTTGGTGCTATGCTTTCGCATCCTTTCAAGTAGTACATGCGCGCTTCGGGAATAATGAATTCCATGGGATTGGTTAGCACCGGGAGGTATGTAGTCGGTTGCGACTTCCCCTGTTGTGAATGTGCGCGATGGTTCCGTGCATCTACATTGTCGAAACCCGCATCTCATCGAGACCGTTGTACTAACTAAGAGTGTGGATCTGCCAAATTCATTGCGACGAACTTCAGTGCCTTTGGTCGGATATTATTAACACCAGGATAGGTAACCTGGTGTAGGGAAAGTAGCCTTTCAGAATATTTTCAACCTTAAACTAGATGCGGCCAAGTCCTGGCTGTGGTATAACTTACATGATTAGCACAGCCGACGAAGTCGTGCTCTAGAAGTTTGGGAATAATGGCTAACATAGGAGTTTGGCCGCTTCTGTTGCAGTTTGTGCTGATCCACATGGCCTGCGGAGGGCAGGAATCACCCGCTGCACCTTACTGCGTTTGTTAACATGTCTGTTAAGAGGCTTAAGATTTGAAGGGAATCTCCCGGCTACATCCTGTTGATGAGTCAGTTACTCAAGGTGTAGCAAGTCCACGCAATGATTTCACTGGATAGTGTATACTTGCCATGTTTCGGTAACCGAGGACCCCTTGTACTTATGCCAGAGTGAATCGCTCATGACCATATGTCTCCACGTCCTGCTGTGCATGAATGGCTTTACTCTCAATGTCACTTTCCTTGAATACATCGTGTTAAAGAAGCTGCTATCCTTGCGTATGCACAGCTTTCCTGAAGCGGAAAACATTTACCTGAACAAATGCATTCTACGTAGTAGATATAACGAAAAAGCACCCTGTCCAAAACAGATCATTCGTCGCCCGTTTTGAATAGCCTAAGCGAAGGGACATGGTTGCTTAGAGGTATATCGGCGATTACTTCTTGCAAGTCGACCTTGAGTTGTTCGCTGAAAGATGCTGTGACTTCAAATACGTGCAGGTTGAAGTCCCCCAACAGAAGGACGTAACTGTATGACCGTGCCAGGATAAGCTTCGTGGCAGTAGCAAGGCTTTGATCCCTTTCCAAGGTGGACATTGGAGAGCGGCAACTATTGCTAGTAAAGACACCTCACCACGTCTTAGTTGCAGATGGCATCAGGTAGAATCGACAGAGGCAATGTGTACCGGATCATCGATGTTAGCAACATGCAGGTCCGATGGGTAACGCAGGAGCACATCGCCTCCACTGCTTGGTGGATCGTTTGGTATGGTAGTCATGCCGGGTAGAGCAATCTCAGCATCGTTGATTGTGTTAAATCATGTTTCGGTGACCATGACTTTGCCCCAAACTGGGGAGATATGATGAATAGAAAGCTCGGTTAACTTGGTGGGAAAACCGTATGCGCTGGTATAAAAGCAGGTGGGGGCCTCAGCGTTTAGAAGCGTGTTTGTGGATGCAACTTACACGTGAGAGTCTATGTCGACACTAGTGAGTTCGGCAGTCGGTTGCCTTTCGCAGGATCGCCGACGCAGGCACTAAGAACGTTACACATTTGTGCATAGAGTACTCAGTGCTAGTAATTGGATCCTAAGCATGTCCTCTTTCAGCTACCCGAGTGTCTTGACGGTATCCCGGTTCTGAGATGCATGGTGCGGGGGTTGCACGGATGAACCGCCTGCTCAGATTCACTTTTATATTTGTGACCGGATGTTCATCATATTTAACCGCATTTCGGATGGCATCAATTTGCGCCTATGTTGTCCCATTTCGGCCACAATTTCTGTCGTCGGTTTGCATTGCAATGTAACTCGTAACCATCAGGGACCACTTTCTGCCTAGTTGGGTGATGGTGGTAGCCTCGACGTCAAATGCGCGACAAGGTTTCCAAACAAGTAAACAGCACGGCTGAAGCGCCCTTCATCCCAGTCATGTGCATTTGCCTGTAGCGCACTTAAAGGCTGAAGCGCAGTGGTATCATAGATAAGGATAGCAATGACGTAACCTTTTCTGCAGAAGCATCCGGATTTTATTTGCTTCTCTGTCGTTCGTCCCAAGAAGCATCTGGAAAATACGAACAGTGCATGTTGAGATGCGGAAAGGAGTGGTTAACAAAGAAATGCCTTTACAGTATCGCTTGAATGAGGCGTGATTTGGAGTAACGACGGTTCCCAGAAGTATACTTAGTTTTAATGACCGACGAACTACGTCATTTTAGTCAGCCTAGCTTAGACATTCATTAGCTGACACAGCCAGGCCCACTTTTTCAGGTCGTTTAGCAGCTTGTCGTTGATGGAGTTCGTCTCGGACTAGGGGGTAGTGGAACATATAACAATCTGAGTATTACGAGGTCTGGTGTTTTACAGTTTGGAGGAATGTGTGGCTACTTTCTTTCGTCGAACTACAAATGGCTCTTAGGACCAGAATTAATAGTGGCATCTCTAACTGCACATAGTTTTACAGCGGTCGAGGCTACAATGGACGATCACTTTCTAGTATGGGCGGCAAAAACGGACGCGTGTGCTGTCGCTCAGTCAGCAGTTGCTTTGATGCAGTATGTGATGCGAACGCATCCTTAGCAGCAGCCACTTGTATAAAACTGCCGAACTCTGGATCGTTGCTCTTGTGTTCGGCCTGCTTACTCTGTTCTTAACTGGAGGATGAATTTCAGTATGGAGTTGGTGGCTTTGTCTCATCTGGTCACAGTGCGACAGCTTTTAATTCTGCTGCTTGTTGTACAATCTGTGCCAAGCTGTCGCACTTTTGCGTCAACGTTGCTATGCATCTATCGAGTGGAACAGCCGTACACGCAGTGCAGAAGCATATGGAGTGGATCGTATTATTACGTTGCTTTACATCGTCTAGGTTTAAGCGTGCACACGTGAGATGGCATTTTTTACAGTAAATCGAGCATGTGAGTTTACTCCTGCTCTTTGAAAACAGTTTGACGCAGCACCGGTAAAGTTTATTTGCTAGGTCATAGAGTCAACTTATCGTATGCAAGCAGTGCGGATCTGAAAATCTGGCACCCCGCCCCGGAAGTTTGAGAAAGGATATTGACTCTTTGAACTTGAAAGCTTGAACTTAAAAGCAGCAGTTCAAAAAACTGAACTCAATTGGCGTACAGCCTAAAAGTAGCGGCTTTTCTGATGAAGTCTGCACAAGGTTATCGCTCACAGGGTTCAGGCCACACTTTTAATCCAGATTGCTGCTCCTAACGGTACTGTAAACACTTAAAAATCATTCAATGGAAAGAGTTAGCTGGTGTAGCAACCAGTACGATCAAAAACGTAGCTTTGTTGGAATATAACTTTTTAGCCTTCTTTATGTGAATAAAACGTGACGCGCAGTCTCAATCAAGGTCATGATTCGAGCTGAAATGGATCCTATTCAATATGATTACCTGGACTGCGTTTAAAATCGACAAAAGTTATATGTTGCCCCCTCGCCACTCTGAATTCCACGACCGATCGTGTAGGTTGAAAGCACCTGAGACAAATACGTGACTGCACCTTGTCAGCAACTAGATGTCCTCGAATCAGATTTCGCTTTTGTTTAAGACAGCGACGAATGTATGTCCGGAGTGTTTGACTCAGTTATTAATCCGACCGGCTCTCCTGGTGATCGTATATATGTTGAATAACCCGCCTTTATGCTACTACTCAAGAAAGAGACGGTATACAAGTTAACACATTCCACTGCCTTCATTTTAAATTTTTCGCACAAGTGGCTGTCACCATCTTCCTCATGGGCCCAAATATCTTCTGCTTGGATACCTACGTACACGTGAGGTAAGTCAGAGAATTTGTAAGTCAAAATATCCTGGATCCCTTCATTGTTCAGTTGAAATTTCCACTGTCTATGTGCTTCTTTCATCAACCACATCAGTCAGCAGACACTTGGTTTAACAATGAACAATCATTTTTAACGGGTAAAAAAGCAGGTGCTCTACATGTCCCGTAGTGTGGTTAGAGTGAGAAGATAGATCAAAGGGGTAATGGAATAGTCGGTTAGGGCGATTACAGCGTAAATTGCACTGAATTAAAACGAGAGTTTGAAATTATAAGCTGCACACACAAAGCAATAAGGAGTGTGGTTATAACTCACGTAATAAGCGAGAAAAAATTAAAATATAGCAAGGAAAACGCTTACTCGTACGCACTCATCTCGGGTCGATGGGATACAGAAATCCACTTTCCACAGTAGTAGCGTTTAGCTAAGGGTGTGCAAGGTGTTTAAAGTAACATATTCTCGAGTAGGGTTATGACACCGTCCACTGTAGGTTGTGCATTAGTACCAGCATCTGGTGGTCATGGGCTATAGCACGTAGTGTAAATGTGACAGAGTCTCATCAAGGCGTTTTTGAAAAGGGATAGGGTGGGAGCATTAATTACATGTTCCAACCGGGTGTCCCAAGACCGTGACCCTATAAGTGAATAAAAATTTTCGCTGACATTCCAGGCGGCTGTACTGCGTGACCAGCTTAAACTGATGACCTCTTAGCGGGGTGTTTTGGCTGGGTATTAGAAGGGAATGGCATGGATGGTTGGGGTTTCTCATGATCTGGTACGCCATTATGAGGTCGCCCCTTAGACGCCGATAACGTCCAGTGTATATTTTGAGGGTCCTCAGCCTGTGTGAGTAAGGGAGGCTGGTCAACGTTTGACGCTCTTCGTTGCCCTACGTTGTGCAGTAACGAGCGCGGGGAGATGTTGTTTGAGCCAGGGTTGCCAAGCTTGAATAGTGTATTCCGAGTGCGGCGTCACGTATGCAAATAACAGTTTTGGAAAGACTGAAGGGTTACCGGCAATCTGCTTGAAAGTGTTCCAGAATGGGCTTAAAGAATCATAACGCAATTAATGCTTTATCACTACGTATTACTGGATATTGTGTTTACTGTCATAAAGTTAGGTTTTATTAAGTGTCATGCCCCAGCATTTGCTTCCACCCACTGAGCTGCGGGTTAGGCTAATCCTTGCTCTCACTTCCCACTCTTTGTTTTCCACTCTTTGTGGCTCGCCGCAACTTACACTCTAGGTGTAACCACCTAGCTCTTCTTCATTGTTCCCTAATTGGCGAGTCTCTTACGAGTCATCGCTGCCGAGTAGTGTTCGAGTCGAACCTAATAGAGACTAGTTTGGAAGGCGATTGACAAGCGGTATCAGCCGGAAAAGAAAGGAATGCAACATTGGTTAAAATAGCATCAACGAGGCGAAATGTGAAAGACTGTGAGAAAAGTGCAAAAGTAGGCAATAACATCATGATATTTTGCTGTCTTTGAACTGCGTTGTATTCACAGAAGCCGCCTGATTAAACGCCCCAATTTCCTCTTCCGGTGTATTGTTCTTTAATTCCCTCTGAGTTGTCTGCAGTGTTTTCTCACCTATTTCAGGCCATCACATGCCCCTTCGTTTCCGTTTAGCCTCGTCACATTTGTCCTTTGTTCTTGACTCTCATTTCCGCCCTCTTAATTTTTGGAGGCCGCCATGGGATGTTGTCTAGTGACGTCTACAGAGCTTGTCCCAGCCTTGTACTTTAGCATTCTTCGCCAAGTTTTATGAAGTATTTCGGTACTCTTGGAAGATGGATGAATTATTCAATTATCCATTCAGCTAGCAACATTCAAAGTCTAGGAGTGTGGAAATAAAGCAGTGCGATTAGGAGGACCACGAATAGCACCATTCGTCTCAGGAGTCGTCAGGAGTAGTCATACTAATTCATATACTGTTCTGCGTCAGCAAGCGAGTCGGTCAGCTGCAACTATCGCCAGCCCGACTCGAAGTACACATGCCTTGACTAATAGTTGCGAAACCCTTAAGTCAGAGGCTGCTGTTCATTCTGAACCGACGTTTTTACATTATCTACTCTGTATGTAGACATTTTTCTCGGGATATCTATGATAACTTTTGCTTTTTTGGGAATACCCTGAATTTCTTAACTCTGGTCATAAAATCGTGAGCAAAATTAAACGGATTATCAAAGAAGGCTATCAACAGGATAACATTCCTGACTACCCTAGAATATTCAGCTGTTGCTTGGTGATAAACGAACGGCTACCCCAGTGACATCTACACACCTTCCTCTTCCCTCATTTTTACACTTCACAATTACAAAACTGTTAAAAGTAACCTTTTAGTTCACCGCAAATGAGACTGGAGATGAACCAAGCCGGGTGCATGAAACTCATCTTAACTAAGTTAAAAGTAGCCTGAAACACGCATTGTGCGCTTCATTTCTCTGGTGATCAGGAAAAACACCAGTGGATCACTCAGCGTTTTGTTCAGAAGTGCTGTCACCGAGTGGTTAGCGCATTTCACTCCGATGGTTAGAGATGCAATGGCGTCAGTATGTACTTGAGCTGCATCACTTCCTAGGTCTGAACACACAAGCCAGCTATAGGAAGAGCTATATTTTTTCAACACAATTTGTCGCGAAACTGCAATACCCGTATCACCCTCAAGCCTGTTGGATGTATGGTGTTCTATTCTCACCTTCCGTAGTCGTCTCCCCATCTTGCGTACACTTACTGAACCACGCGAAACAACTTATTTTCGCAAGAACAACGCAGACTAAGCACGTCACTGCTTAGAAGTGATGCATTCTTTAAAAGTAATGTCCTAGAGTTAGAAGGATGCCGTTGTCACTCTTACTTTAATTCCCAACTACAGAGTAAAGCTGTACAATGAGTATAATCCCTCTCAGTAGGCACAGTATTGCAAGCCAAGCAGCTCCGACAAATAAGAGACGACGTTGAACCTTGCTATCAAAATTACCCGAGAAGTGTGCACAAAGTGTTCCAGCCACATAATGCTTGCCTGCGAGTTGTTTAAACGTCCAGAAAGTCCTTGCAGCTGCGGTCCCAAACTGTCATTCCCAGTTAGCGCATATATATATATGTATATATATATATATATATATATATATATATATAGATAGATAGATAGATAGATAGATAGATAAATAGATAGATAGATAGATAGATAGATGGATAGATAGATAGATAGATAGATAGATAGATAGATAGATAGATAGATAGATAGATAGATAGATAGATAGATAGATAGAAAGATAGATAGATAGATAGATAGATAGATAGATAGATAGATAGATAGATAGATAGATAGATAGATAGATAGATAGATAGATAGATAGATAGATAGATAGATAGATAGATAGATAGATAGATAGATAGATAGATAGATAATGACAAGTGTTCGGAATACGATGATGACACGCGTGAGCAATTTAACAATCAGTTACCCTCCGTGATACGGTTTGTGCCTAGGAGGGACCGAGTATTTCTGCTTGGAGAGTTCAACATGCGCCTTGGGCGTGATGCATCAGCGTGGACAGATGTTATCGGTCCGCATGGCATTGGTTCAGCGAATGCGAACGGTGACAGGCTGCTCTCGCTGTGTGCCACTCACGGCGTGACGATCACGAACAATCGGTTTGCACTGAGTGCGACTGATATAGCAACTTGGACGCACCCACGGAGTGGTCACGCTCACCTGCTGGACTACATCGTCGTACGTCAGCGTGACGCGTTAAGTGCACATGACACGTGTACTGCGTGGAGTTGAGTGTGGCACTGATCACAATCTGGTGCACACCAAACTGTACATATGTTTTCGTAAATCTATGTATTGCACTCCCGCCGTGAACTGGCGTAAATTTATCAAGCACTGCTTCGGTACAGTGGAGAAAAGTATTGAGCTTGAGAAAGCGATGGCTGCACGCCTGTGTGATGTGGACTGCATAGCCACAGTGGGCGACCTGTGGCACCACATTCGCGATCAGGTGACAGCTGCTACCGAGGAGAACATCTAGCTCGCCAAATGTTAGCGGCGTGATTGGTTTGATGAGAACAATGCGACGATTGGCGCATTGGTGTATGAGAAGAATGCAGCATTTGCTGTACAAATGGCAGACCCCAGTGACTTTGGGAAGAACAGTCCGTTCCGCAGAGTTCGTCGGCGACTGACCCGAGAGTTCCGTCGCATTAAAAATGCATGGTGGACGGGGAAGGCGAAGCAGATGTAATGCTACATCGAACGCCGCGGAACTGAACGGTTCTTTGACTTCTTGAAGACGGTGTATGGATCGAAGTTGGAGCCGCTGAGGACGCCGCTAGATGGTAATTCAGACGTTACGTGCAAGCAGATTGCAAACTTAAAGCCAATCTAGCCAAAACAATTTTGGTGTTTCTTGAACAACCGTTCAGATATTGACTGGCCTACATTGACAGGCCTGAAGCAGTCCGATGTGAAGGCAAGTCCGGTGAACACGGTGAAACTGGATGAGATGCAGGGAGCACTCGCTAAGCTGCGAAACGGCAAGTGTGCCGGTACCGACGGGATCCCGCCTGAAGTATTGAAACACGACGGACCCGCGTTGTTGACTGCGCTGCACCACTTGGTGCAACGCATATGGATTGAGGAGGAGGTGTCTCCTGAACTGAAGGATGCCCTTGTGCTATCAATGTACAAGGGCAAAGGTAGCAAGCAATGTTGCACGAATTATCGTGGCATCAACTTGCTGAGTAGTGTGGGCAAGGTGATTGCCCGAATCCTGCTCAACCGCCTCGTCAGTCAGGTTGTGGAACCTAACGTGGCGGAAGAGCAATGTGGATTCCGTTCGCTTCGTAGCACCATAGATATGGTGTTTGCGGCTCGTCAGTTGCAGGAGAAGTGCAGAGAACGACACCAGCCTTTGTACTCGCTTATTGTTGATTTCACCAAGACATTTGATATGGTGAACCGCGGGGCACTGTGGTTGGTGTTGGGTAAGT